CCTGGACACTTTGATATTTCTTTAACAAATAATCAGCAGTGCTCTACAAGTGGATGTGCACATTAGTTGTACATCTAAGAGGGTGATAGTCATGGCAATTTTTTGATTTCTAATGCTGAAATGAATAATTTCTTCAAAAGGTTAAAGAGACATTGTTGAAGTTTCTTATCATCCTTTCCATTCCCTTATTATTCTTAGTCCCGGAGCTGAAACAATGTCACTGATGAAGCAAATTAAATTTTACATTATAGCCAACACCAAACTTCTTATTATGATACAAGAAGAAAAGAAGTTGACATGTTTATTTTCTTGTTGCTCCATGTTCAGCTACACCATATGGCTCTTTTCTTTAGGAATAATTGTTCTAGGGACAATAAATTTCTGCATAATAGGTAGGTCCTTAATTAGATAACTGAATATGTATTTTATTTAGGTAATACATCTTTGTTCTCAATTACTTTTTAATATTTCGATAATGTATTTTGTGTTTGAGATTAGGGTTGTCCCCACTAGAGCTTTTAAACAAGAAAGACCTCGCTTCAGTGGTATGAATGCTTCAAGTGTTTCATGTTCATCCAATTGCCAAAAGAACTCCAATAAGTTGTTGAATGTTCACAATGAAACCCAAACAAACTATAAAGAAATGGTGAATAATCACAATCAAATGATGGCTGCTTTCAAGTCATATATGATAATAAAAGAAGGGACATTACTAGAATAATTTGCGGGGTTATTTGCTTCTCCTCCTACAATGGTAAATATAACTTTTACATTCTCTCTTCCTTAATGACCTTGTTTGTATATCATATGTACTAATTTAGTTATAGCCATTTCCTTTGCACCCACAATTTGTCAATGTCTGTTTCATTAGAGAAAAGAGTTCTTGATCATGTGCTTGGTCCCCAAGGCCATTAAAGTATCTGATTTAATTACATGTTTATTAAATTTCCTATCTTATTATAACCAATGGGCTTAAAGAGGGTTCCTTGAAAAGAGGGTTCTTTAAAGAACTAAATGGGAAAGTCATCTAGAAGTTAGGTATGAGTGAGAATGCGCTCTTGAGGAATTTTCGTAAATTATGTATTGTTCGTTGTAAGTAATAAAATATGCTCAATGGTGTTTTAGCAATTGTTCTTGTTCTTAATGTTGTTTCACAGGATTATTATTTGTAACTTTTAAACTTTTGTTGTTAAGAACTATCTTATTTTTCGGGTATTGGAGGTGCCATACTTGGGATTTTTTGAGGTTATACAATTGTTTTCCTGACAAGTGTGTGAAAGTCTTTGTTGATAGAATATTGTTATCCAAAAGTACCATCTACTACTTTTGGAAAGAATGCAAAAAATCTAATAGTGTCTCAACTTGATACTCATTTTTTAGCTGACATTATGGAATTTAATAGAAATATTTATGTTTCAAGGCTCAAGTTAGGGGAAGGTACAACTCTCCCTTCAAAGAATCTTTGATTCCTCTGTTTCCATCAGATCCATAAAATGCTGGTAGGGTCATCGGTCCAAATTCTTTCTGATCCTTGTGGATTTACTTTATGACCAACTTGTTAGCGGTTCTTTTTTTAGTTCTAACCTATGAGCCTCACCCTGTGTATTACAAAGATGCCTAGGAAGATAGTTCATAACTTTGATGTTCTATGGTTGTGTAGGAAAAGATGCTCTAAAAACTCTTCAGAATGTTCATCCCTTACTTTCTCAAAATTTACAGAGGAAGAATTTATCAATTATGTTGCCTCAATCCCCTTTAGGAAGAGATGTGACGTTCAAGTTTTCCATTTAATAAATACAAAAGCTAATTGAAAAACACAGAAATGATCCATTGCATTTTCTAGTAACATATCTACTTAGATTAACTCCATTATTTCTGGTAAAGTTTTATGGGTCAGGCACTACTTGGGGGTAACATTCTTGTAATTTTTTATTTCTTTAACTTTATATCTTGAAAAGTAGGTGATATACATTTACAAGTCCTATGGAATGCAAGTATATTCTTGTATTTTGGATTTTGATCTATGCTTTTAAGGCTTAAGTTATTTCCTTTAATAACTAGTCCTTGATCATAAAAGGAAATTGTTACAAAGTTTGAATTTTGCTACATTTATCCATGTTTTGAGTTTGGATAAATTCACTTATTATGTATTCTCCTTTGCAGCCAGCTGATGCTAGTGACAATAATCGTAGTGAAACCCGCTGAAGTTCCATAAATTGCTGCAGATCCTTTCTTGAGTTTGGGTGCTATTATTTGAACTTTAAGCAAGTTTTTGTAGTAATATGAAGTTTCTTGTAATCGTAATTGTTGAAGCGAATGGTATGTTTCAATTTAGTTTGCAAAACTAATTGTAGACTTTATGGTATACTTTTGTGTTGAAATATTGTGTTATTTCTCAATACGAATATGTCCTTTTAGGTTTGACAATGATGTACGTGTTAGTTAATTAATTTATTATTAGTATCTAAACTTGAATATTCCTGGCAAATGCTATAAAAAGTTATAATTTCATAAATTGTAGGAGTTGAAGCTCCTGTTAATTTTAATGTAAAATTCATTAATTGTTGGGGTTTTGACTCCCTCGAGTTCACAAATTGTTGGGGTTATGACTCCTAGAATTTGAAATGCGGTGGGGTTCAAAACTCTCACTAGTAAACCCTTGCTAATCGTACCAGCGGTTGCTAAGAAACCCCCATGACTTAATTGTGACACACCTAATTGCAGGAGTTTATTCAACTGTCGTAAGACTAAATTGCAGGGGTTATTGACCATCACAGTATATAATTATAATCCGCAGAATTTGAGCTTTTATTTGTAGTGACTGGTGGGTTATAGTAGGGGAGATCATGACTCGAGAAATACGATTGTAACCCAGAAGAGGCTTAAATTCCTATATGGCTTGAAACATACACCAAAATAATGACTTGAAAAGTTTGTTTAATGTATGATTGAAAATGATTTAAAAATAAATAAGTGTGATAAGTGTATAAAATCAATCTGGAATAATTCACATGTTATTCTTTGCCTCTATATATTATGATTTATTGATCTTTCTTTAACATGAATGTTATTGGAGATACAAAAAATATTCTTCCGTGTGAATTTTTTTTATACTATAACGTGTGATAGAAATTTTCTTGACGATTCACATATGTTGAGAATTTTTTTAAAAAAACATCTTCATTGCAACCATGTTGTAACTCCTTTTAATTCAAGTGTTCACTTGTTTCATATCGACTATGTCGTCATCATACAAGTCTAAAACATACTCCAATTTAAATTTAACAATACTAATTTAAAAAAAAAAAAAACTTAATTCATGTTGTTATCATACAAGTCTAAAACATATTTAGAATTAGTAGTTAACATATATGAACCTTTTTTCTTCAATGATGTTATATCGTTAGTTAATTCTACCTCAATTTCAAGAATTTGTAGATCTTTCAAGATGGCCTTATATTATGAGATTTTAGATCTAACTTGTCCACTTTAACATCTTTATTGACCAAAGTTTAACATCTATGAACCTGTAAATTTGTTGATCGATGTAGTGCATGACCAAATTATAATGGTCTTCTTTTTCCATCATTTTTTCTCTACTCGGGAGAAAAACTAACATACGATAGAACCAAATGAAAACATTGTAATTAATGAAAGTTATGGTTATTTTTTTAATTTGACATAAAAGATAAGAGAGAAACTCAACGGGCCAGAAGATATTTGGTCCCTTCCCTGTTGTTTTTGCTTCAATTGCGGGACCTTAAGGAAAATTACAATGATAATTTCTTTAATCTACTTACAAATATTCAAATCACATGCAAATTTTTGCAAAGATTATTAGATACCACACCCTAGGTCAACACACATAAAATTTACCTTATATATTTTTCAAATGAATTCAATCACTATGTATTGATAGCAAAAATGCCAAGTTAACTACATGTACTCATTACTAAAGAAGAGATTAGTAATGTGAAAATTAAGATTGATTACTTGCTGCAACAAAATACATCAATAAAACAAAATTATTTATATTATCTATTTTATTGGTATCTATAAGTTAAATCCTTTCAAAGTAGATGCTAGATACACAATTACAACATTTATAAAGACATGGGCATTCCTATAATCTAGCTTCAATAATTTCAAAATTTGTTTAAATGTCAGGTTAACTACAAATAAATATTTATAAGAAATGGGATTAGGAACCTAAAGAGTAAAACACTAACCACAGTAATAGAATCAAAATTATGTATATAATCGGTGCATATAAGTTAAATTATTTATGATATTAATATATGTATATCAATTAAACCCTTCCCAAATTTGAAGATATATAGATACATAATTAAAACAGTAAAGATGAAAAATATACCTAAAGCTTCTAGTTGTTTCTTTGTTCTCACATTATCTGTCATGTATATGAGTTACACTATATTTATGTTATCAATATATAAGTTAATCCTTAACAAATGGAGTGAAGTTAAGGTTTTACATCCGGGCTACACGATAGGAATTATAAGGCCAAATAGGTTATAATAGAATAACTACTGAAGTCAAGGGAGTGTCATAATGATCAATGAAGGTTGGATAAATTATGAAAATGAAGGCTCAAATTGCATGATTTACCATGGTCAATAAATCATTTAATAAAACTTCTAAGAAGTATATGAGGAAATATTAATGGTGTGTTGTGGTCTATTAAGAAAACATAAAAGTTAACACACTTCTGTATGTTCTAATATTACCAAGAAACTTTTGGACATATTGAAATATGAAGGCAATAAGGAGTAATTGCATTAAGACCTAATCAAAAAGAAAGTTTGCATATATAATTGGCATACATTTTTCAATTTATGAACAATAAAATACTCAATCACAGGTCACCATAACATAAACTAAGACTAAAATTATAAGCAAGCATAAGTCAAAAACTTGAACCAATGCCTAAATTGTGTCTGTTCGAATTTGCGATCCACTGCCTACTTAATCCCGGGGAATCAACAAGTTGAAGATGGTTCCTCAGGCATAGGCTTTTCCTTTTCCGGAATATAGCTACCCACAACCAGCTGGTAGATAAATGAAAATCGTTAGCAAGTACATAATATGCACTCAAACATCAGTACAAGGATGACACAAGGCATTGGAGTAGTGAATAGAAAGCATCATGCGATGTGCATATTGAACACATGTTACCGTTCAACGTGTGAACCCTATCACAAATAAAAGACAACTATTTAAATGAATTATAGAGAGGTGAACTTACTAGCCACTATGTTTCGAGCCATGCACTACTAGTCTATCCAAAAGGAAATGGAGAAACAAATGAATGCAAGGACAGAGGTAGTAAGAAGAGCACCTCTACCCGAGAGGAAGCCTTGAGCATTTCTGCTACAATGCCACAAATATTACTTCCATCGGGCCTAGACAGTAACACACTTAGACCACCCGTTATTCCAAAGCTATCATTATTGTCTGGCAGCAACAATGAGCCTGATAATGAGATGATATCATATTGACCCTGCATGTAAAGAATAACAAGAAGCTCGATGACCAATTTCAATAGGTATGCTAGAAGACATTCAATGTACACGCAATGATCACCTTTATCAAATTCAATACATAAGAAGCTTCACGACTTTTGCAATAAATGTACATCCAATTACTTGTGCATAATATATATGATAAATCCAAAAAGGCAAGCCAAATCAACTGGAAAAATAGTATGACAACTCGTTCCAGATTATTTAGTAATCAAAACTAGCTAAAGCAATATTCTAGCTACTCTCAATTTTTCTATGTCAACAACAAAATCACAAGGTGATATCCAACTACTACTAATTGATATCTCAAGATTAATAATTAGGATACATAAAGGAGAAATAGTCTTTGTCATTATAGCAGATGATAGGCTTACACCATCTATTGATGGGTTTATTGTGTTTCATCCACTTCAAGTACATTCATCATACCTATTAAAAAGCACTTCTAACATAATGATTCTTTAAAAGGTAATAGAATGAGCTAGAAGGAGTACATCTAAGAGGATATACTCTAACGAATTGTTTCTCAAATGTCAAAAGACATTTTTATGCAAGTGTGTGTATATATAATAAAACACGAAAAAAAAATTAATTATCAAATAACACAGCCAACAAACTCAAATAAAATAAAGTATACCATATTTATAGACAAACTAATCATAAACTACCACACATGCCTCATAATAAAGGCAACATAAAGGGTAAGTGTCTTTAAGTTGAAACTCATACATACCTCATAAGTCACAGTTCCACCACCAATTACAGACTCCCGTAGCTTCACACTACATATGACTCCAGTTGCAGATATAATAGAAAGTGCCCATGGTCGTGGTCCTTGTTGTAAGAAGGTTATTAGCTTACCTACAACGTCCTGTGGCCAAAGTAACAAGTTTTTATCATTTTGTCAAGTTAACCAAAAAGTTCACAAGAGTGGGACATCGATTAAAGTCAACCTTAAACAACAAGTCTAATTTTGGCGTTACACTACATACGACTCCAGTTGCAGATATACAAACTACCCATCGTTGTGGTCCTTGTTTTGAGAAGGTTATTAGCTTACCTACAATGTCAAGTGGACAAGGTAGCAAATATACATCATTTTGTAAAGTTAACAAATAAAATATCATTAGAATGGGACTTCAATTCAAGAAAGCCTTAAACAAGAAATTTAATTATGGGTAAAATAAAAATGAGATAATGTCCATTTCATAAAAATGAATCCAACAAAAAAAGGTAAATGACTTTCTTCCTTTCTCTCATAAGAAATTTGAAACTCAGGTATCTTGTAGAACAACACAACACATCATAAAATATGCAATAATTGTACAATACACAAGTTGATTAAACTTTTGTATGTCATACTATAGATCAAAAATCATTAAGCAAAATAGATTTTACCTGCCCACTATGCACAGAGATTAAGTGTCGCGTCCATCTAGCTTCAACTGCATCCGCAACCATAAAAAAATCCACTATTATTGTGATACATGTATTATATTGGTAAACATTGATAAACAAATCCAATTACTTGACACTTTTCAGTTCCCAAGATTCAAACTACTTGCTTTCGAAGAATTATGAAGACATATATACCTAGAGCTTCTTCCTTCTGCTTGTTTCCAGAGCACAACGGCCTCCCAAAGGGCTTCTTACCTTGAATTTTGGAAGAAGAAATACCAGTAAAATCACCACCAGCACTAGAATCTTCATGATTCACTACTAAAGGAATTAAAGAAAGTGTATATAAGTTCAATCCTTCCTATTTTAAAAGCATACATATTTAAAGAAATAATGAAAACATATATACCTAAATTTTTTGGTCGGTTCTTCTCTCCAAATCCCTGGGGCCTCCCACGAGACTTCTTAGAGAGATTTTCTGAAGTAGAAGCTCCACGAGATTCAGAAAATTTAGTGGGAGAGAGCCGCAATCCATGAGCAAAAGACTTCTTTGGTGGGCCTCTCTTCTTCTGTTGTTGGGGTTGATGGAAAATGATTTTTGCAGGAAACATGTAGGAGTTGGTTTGCTCTTGTTGGTGGGTATGGGGTGGGGGTTGTTCTTGTTTTGGTTGGTGTATCGGTGGTGATTCTTGGAAATCCATAGGACAAAAAAGAATTATCTATAAGAATGTGTTTTCACAGTTTGTTCTAGAGAAAACTTTGTTTAGGGAAAAAGAAAGAATGTTTAAAATTTTTAGGGTTATATCAATGATTTTATATTTAAGTTAGAGTTTGACCAATACATTTTCAATAAAATTTTGAATTTTTTTTTTCAAATGAGGTGTTAATATCTGGTCAAATAATGACCAATTAAAATCTTTGGTCAAAATAGTAACAAAATAAATGTTGTGAAGTGTTCAAAATGGTATGTATTGGTCAAACACAAGTAATTGTATCATTTAATATTTTTGATAACCTTGATGACTCACGTGAACCAATCAGAATGAGGTAATCAAATATTTTTTTCACATGGATTATTTATCTTAAAATAGACGTTGAAAATCTATCAACAAATGAGGTGTTAATCTGTAACACCTTGGAAAAAGAATAGTTGCATAGTTGACTGCAGGTTCAAGTCTATGCGTCCTTCTTACGGATTGTATAAGGTTCTATGGTCCGTAGAAGGGAGTTGTAGAAATGGTCTTAAGTGTTTTTGGATATTTGGATCTCTGATGTTTTCTATGTACCACCAGGATGATTTGTAGAAAGTTATACGGTCCATAGGAAGTGGTCGTAAAAGGGTTCATGATAATGCTCAAATGTCCTCTTTAAAACCAATTAAAAGGAAAAGCGATCGTCATCAATAAAAATACTCAACTAAGAGTGAGGGTGGAATCCCACAGGAAATGGTGTGCGGTCAAGAATTTAATTAGAGAGTTAACTAGCAATTAATTTCTATGAAGTTGAAATAGCACATGAGTGGAGAAACTCGCCAGTTTTAACAACACTAATTTACATACCCAATTGACAATATTGAAATAATTGATGATTCACAAAACTAATTGAATCTGGTGGTGTGGGGATCGAATGTTGATTTCACCTGGGATATTGTAGAATTACTCGTTACAACTAATTAATCATAAATAAGATAGGTCATCATAATGGAAGTTAATATTCTTTCTATCTCAAAGCATCATTGCATAGAATATCCTTTCGATCTCATCTATATGTTATCCTAAACAACCCAAAACCTAAGATCTGCAATTAAGTACACTAAATTGCAGCTATTGAACATCTTACCCACTTATATTGGTTTCTTTCAAGCACCAATGCAAGATAGAAACTAAAACTTAGTTGGCCACCTTAATTTATGAATTAATCACTTGGCAATAAGTCAAATATATGATTAATAGCCATAAAGCAGAGCAATTCAACAAACTCACAAAATTGCATCAGCACCCAATCCCATAATCACACCCCAATAGTTTGGGGCTTTAGCCACACATTGTAAAGTGTAAATATATTATACCTTGCATGAAATTAGCCATGGGTAGCATAAATTGAGCACATAATAGAAAACTCACATCAAATTCAACCTCAAATTACTATATCCAAGCTCACAAATATAAAAGAACTCAAAACTAAAAGTGTTCTCATTCAATTAAAAATGTTTCTCTCTCTAAAATGTTCAGACTGTTTCTCTCAATTTTCGCACACATCTTTCTCTCTCCTCTAGGCTATTTATAGTTTCCCATAATTTTGCCTAAAAATTTACTCAACGTCTCATTCGACGATGTTAGCTAGGACAATCTATATCACACTAACTTGTCTTTTAATTGAAACGATCAGCCCTCAATAGTATCATATATTTTGGTTTCGGTTCTTCAATCCCAAAATACCTTCAGCGACATCAGTTTTATGCTTGCACCAAGATTGCATAAAGCTTTAGAAAATGTGTATGCACCAATGGTGCTTGGCATAGTGAATTCTCCTAGATCATCTCTTTTTAGGACTGCATTTTTTATCATGACATCACTAATAGTTTGCGGTATTTTAATAATTTCATAATTTGTCAACTTCTTCTTCATTAGTAACTCCTTCATGTGCTTTGCATAATTGGGAATTTCGATCAGTGCATCGACCAAAGAGATATTTACCTTCAAATCATTCACTATCCCCAAAATCTTTTGAAACTTGACATTATCATCTTTCTTCCTGTACCATTGAGGAAAGGGAGGAATTATCTTGATTGGAGGTTGAATGGTTGGACCTATCACGTCACCATCATTATTATTTGACTTCGGATCACTTGGAACATCATTTACTTTTGGTCCATCCCTCTCTTTAGATTCTTCATAATCGGCTACAACCTTTTAGTTACCAATTTTGTCAATCACTGATTCATTTTGCAACATCTTTCCACTTCGAGTTACTATATATGGATAACACTTGAGTAACATTCAGTGAGCCTTCTTTCACATGGTCTACCAATTCTTCCTTTGGACTTGAAAAATATGCGTGACAAGCTGACCCATATTCTCTTTAAGTAATTTAATGGATGATGAATGGGAAATCACTGTAGTTGAACACACCGAGACATCACTTCTCATCTCTACCAAGATCATATGAGACCCTTCCACATAATCAAGAATCATGGCTAGCAATTCTTTAGTCTAAGTGTTTTCTGGGTTAGTTAAGTCATGAAGTGACACATACCTCCCTCTATCACATTCACTTTTGTTATGCCCTGAAGATACCCCAGGGCTTAAACACGAGACCTAGGATAACGAATGACCCCAAGCTAACCCTGCTAGCATATCATTACCATACTTAAAGATTTATTGAAAAGAAATATTGTACGGAAGCTTGAAACATGATGCAAACTGAAATGATGGGAATAACCATTCCAAGTCTGAATATATATAACTGAGTTTAATGAATATTGAAAGATCAAACTCAAACAAAAACTGAATCTATCTATGTCTGAAATAAATCCTCTAACGGACTAGAGATGCTGGGACATGCCCCAACTAAATCTAGCGAAAACTGAAACTGAAGATTGAAAGTAGAAAGATAATCATGTCAATCGTCCTCAAAGAATGAGGACTCACCACTGATGTTGCTGAACTGGAGATCAAGAACTGATCTATACGTTATCTAAATGCTAATGACCTGAATCTACATTAGGTGAAGAGGTAGCGCAGAGTACGCGTCAGTATTTAAAAGGTATTGAGCACGCATAATAGAATAAAGCTGAACAACATACATAATTCAACAAAGCATACTGAGCAATGATATAAGATGAACATGATATTTTATACTGAAAATACTAAACATGAACTAACTGAATGCAATGACCAAGTTTATAACATGCTGAATATGAATACTGAAATGTGACTGGTAACCTGGTCAATGCAATAGAATCTGACTGTGGGAGCTACTAATAACCAAAATAAAACCACGTGAACTAAACACAGAGTCCTATGTAGTCACCCCATCAAGAGGACCCAATATACCCTGTCAGAGGTAAAGAGGCATGATTGGCGTGATCACTATACTGATGCCCACAGAGGGGACCTCTAAACCTACGGGGGCACGTAGTTCTTAGACTTCAGGGTAACTGACCCTACTCCAACTCGATATAAAGCCTACTCCCAACTGAATATGTGAAAATTATAACATAACTGAAGTAACTGGATAGCTCAATAATCTGACATGCAATTCTGAAAATGCAACATTTATTTTTGATAATGAAACATTCGAAATCTGAGGCATGTATATTTGTTTATCAATCCTAGATAATGTAATTCATGAACTAAAAGAACTACATAACTAGGGTTCTGAGTTTCATGCAAGAAACTACGAAACATTATTACGAAATCATGATAATCTGATTTGGAGTATTCTAACAGCTAAATAACAATAATTATCTGAAGTTCTAGAAACCCTAGGTCTATGCAATATTTAAGAAATTAAGATTCTGACTGAAATCTAGGAACCAAATAGGTGAAAGGAACCCACTAGTGAAATTCCACATACCTAGTGACGAAATTCACGAAGAAATATTTCGATTTCAGGGATGGAACTGATGAAACCATGTTGTGTTCTTGGACTAGGGATGCTCGACTTTTCCTTATGTTTTGCTCTAAGATCGATGAATTTTTTGTGAATGATTGATTATGTTAGGTTCTAATTTAGTTTCTAGGCTAAAACTGACCAAACATACGTATTTTAGGGGTTAAACGACATAGTTTAGGCGTCTAATGCATTCGGAAAAGACCAAACGAACCTGGACATAAAAGATGTCGGGGGTTACCAACGGACCATACGGACGGACCGTGGATGGACTGACAGTCTATTTTGGTTGGCCATCGTTCGCTACTGGGAGTTGAAGACTGGGGGTCTGACCTACGACAATGGACCACGGGTCGTGGTCTGACCTACATGTCGTTGGTCTTGGCGTGGGTCTACCCTTAGCCAATTTTTTTGGGATTTCTGGGGAGGGGCTGCAGGTGGCCATCCATGGATCCCACATCGGTCCGTAGGTCAATATATGATCCGTAGGTGATGCTCGTTAGTGGCACATGCAATTTTTGGGATCTGCATTTTGGTCTGCCTAGGATACGGGGTGTTACATTATCTCCCCCTTGGGAACCTTCTTTTTTGAATGAAGACTAAACTAGATGAATATGGACGAAAAGAGTAGCAAACCCTACCACTAAGCATTGGAAATTGAAAATTTGACTGAACTATGTTCCAAGAACATGCAAATACGCTGAAAATGCAAGTATAGCTGAAGGAACATGATACTAATACTGAATCTACGCATGAGTAACTTAAAGGCTGGAGAGGAACTATTACCTCAAGCTGGAATGGAAGAGATGAGGATACTTGGTCTTCATGGTTGCTTCTACTTCCCAAGTAGCTCCCTCTACGGGCTGACTCCTCCACAAAACCTTCACTGAAGTGACTTCTTTGTTTCTCAACCTTCGAACCTGACGATCAAGAATCTCAATTGGCACATCCTTATAAATGAGACTATCTTTCACAGCTACACTTTCCATAGGTAATA